GATTCTTGGGTGTTCCTGCTCGGCTATGTCGCGTTAGGTGTCCTGTCTCCAGGATGTCCCCCCTTGAATCAGCTTCTTCTTTTCATACTGGAAGATGTTGACCTGGAAGCCCGACATGGTGCCCAACATCAGCTCTGAGATACACTCCTTTGGCTCTTCTTGACTCTCCTTGGCCGGGACATCTTCCTGGATCACTCCCATGCTTCCACCATATCTCCAACAGCTTCTTTGGTACCTAAAAACATTCATTATGCAAAGAAACTGCAAACTACAACCTAAATGCAACCTATGTCTAAAACCAAAAGAAAACGAGACTAAAGAGAAAGAAAAACATGCAAAAAGATGCCTAAACATGCTCTAAATGCAAGCTTAAATGGTATAAATATAAGGGATATCACCTGTCCAAACTGATAGTGCATCCTGGAAGAGTACAAGCCGTCAAGACCGACTAAAACCTAGATAACACGTTCGTGGAAATAGTACATAGTTACCCATGAGGGAACTCTCCTATGAGGCATTACTCGCATTGTTTTGCTATGACGCTTAGCCATGGAGTCGTCTTCCTCCCTTATTGGTTTTATAGAGGAGTTATAATTTTGAATGATTGTAGGGATCGAACGAAACGTGAACGCTAAGGTGACACCTGTCCAAGGACAGCAAGGGGTGCCTTTGAGGGGGGGGTGGGGGGTGGGGGGTGGGGGTGTTACCCTGACTCTCAAAGTGTCGAAAAAGTTTCGAGACAGTTTTTGCATTGTTCTTACATTTGAATTTTTTTTTAATGTTTTGTTGAATCGTGCTTTGACCTTCCCCAGAGGGAGAGATCAGAGATAGAAATGAGAATCTCCCAAATGAGGCAATATCTGATTCCCGGAGGGACAGTACCAACCGAGCAAATCCACAGAGGAGCATACTGAAGAGGTTCGAAAGTAAAAGTCATCGGAAGGAGTAAGCGAATGATATCTAGACGCCAGGCGGGCTTGATAAAATGACCAGAGTCCGAGAGAAGGTTGACGGTAATGACGTGAGCCTCCTGAAAATTAGATCGGTAGAAGATAACGGTAGAGACCCTAGTGGAATACAAATGGAATATGCTCTCGAAAGTGTTATTAAACAAGCACTGAGAACAAAGACCCTAAGAGACTACATATGAGATATGCCCATGGAAGGGTAAATAAGCACGCAGCAAAAACAAGGACCCCAAGAAAATGCACATGAGAAATGTCCCCAAAAAGGTAATTAACAGAGAGAACAAGTACCTCAAGGGGATGCACAAGAGATATACCCCTGAAAGGATAAATAATCAAGCAGAAAGAACAAGAATCACAAGGGGATGCACATGAGACATGCCCTCGGAAGAGTAATTAAGCATGCAAAGAAGGACTCCAAAGGGATGCACATGAGATATACCCCAAATATGATAAATAAGCACGCTTGGGAGGACTTGTCAAGCTCTTGGCTCTATCGCCAACCCATATCCGGGTGGATGTCAATTTTGCAATGAGGCTGGCCTGCATCTATTCGATAATATGAGGTCTCGTTATGCAACCCATCGGTCTGGTATTTCAGGACTTGGCTCGGGTGCTCTGTACTCTACTTGCGAGTATTCCTTATTAAGTTATCTCTGAATCGTTGCCACTCTTACCCTTTTGTATCCCGAGTTGATCTCGTTGTGGTCCACCATCAGCTGATCCTTTCGCCAACTATGGTGTCAAGCTTCTAGGTTTGCTCTTTATCGGGCAGCCTTAATGATTGGGCCAAGGGCGGATCTCCATACATCTTACATTATTGTTTTCTTGCCAAATGTTTACTACAAAGCTAGTTTTAGGGGGACATTATGCATCGGAACGTCGTCCTTGACTCATCTCAGGGCTTGAGATGCCCCTTTGAGTTGCCTCTGGTGGTTGCTGTCCGGTCTCACTGCTATCACCTTTTGTTGAGCCATATATTTGTATTCGCGTGGTACGGAACAACTGCAGTTTGCTCTTGGATGAGAGGCACCGTTCTGGCATTTCATGTAGTCGTTACTTCAGGTATGTTGCTAACGTCTGCTGTTGTATTTGGGCATTAGTCCCCCCCCCCCCCCCCCCTTTTTTTTTGTGGTAACTATTCAAAAGAATTGTACGGGATACAAATAGGGAGTGTGTATTTTTTAGGGCAGATAATCTTCGTCTCACGGATTCATCTTCTGGAGAGATGAGTAGCGCTTGGAGCGAAGATCGTGTCTAGTTTTTGGGACCTGCAATCACTTAAAGGCAGGTGAGACGGGTTTAGAGAGGGACAAAATGAGATTTTTATCTTGAAGGTTTTCTGACACTCAAATACGATTTCTACCACTAAAAACAAATACTTGAAAGGATGGATTTTAGCTGGTTTAAATAAAGCATCATATCCAGATATCGTGACACTAATTGGGTTATTTGGTGTTGGCCCAGATTAGCCATACCGACGTGAAAAGGAGGTTAAAGAGCTCACCTACCTAGCAATGCATAGAGGAAGAAAATTATGTATCTTAGACGGTCTCAGACATACATCATTAGAAATTTTTGTAAGTGGGGACATATCGTTTGGCGTGTCCAAGATATGCATGGGTAGCTCTTCTTAGCTCTTCCTAGGGACTCTCATTGGCCTCTTTTTTCTTCTTATGATTCTTGTTCTATTTATATATTTACGCTCGCGGCTTCCTTATTGTTATTCAAAAGTTTTATATTTGTTAGTTTCAATAAAAGTAATTTTCACCAATTACTTTTTTTACTCTCAGCACAAATATAATGAAGTGTAAAGTCTATTAAAAGTATGTAGATAAGTATATACTATTGGATAGATTATTCTATTGATGTGATATTTTTGAATTGGTTGAGATACAATTTGTTTTAATATAAATGTTAAATTAATCCAATTAAAATTATTTTTACAGTGAATGTAATTTTAGTTTTTTTTAATACTTGATTAATACTGATTTAAGAACTGAAAAAAATGATACCACTAGGCATCTTACAAAGTTTGAGTAAACAAGATTCATAAAAAACAGCAAACAAAATAGGTTGCTAAAGAAATAAAGGAAAAGGCATATGGTATAAATCTAGATTAGAGTATGCGATTCCATTATTGAGATGATCATTCACAATTTAGGAGCATCATAGATCTAATCTTCTCAACCAGATCTAAGACTAGAAACACACCTAATCAAAATAAAATTTAAAGCCCTCCTTACTGCAGGATTTAGAAGATTTAGACGCCAATGGATCCTCTTTTATTGCTTCGATGAGACGGAGCCATGGAGGCGCAAGGACGAAACAAGATCTTGAGATGCAATCTATTCGTCTTGAAAAAATAGGTAAGGAGACGAAACCAACAGTGGTGAAGATTTCCACATCTGAAGTGGAGAAAAAAACGATTTTAAGAACCATCTATGCCGAAAAAGAAACGGTTAGATCTGAACAAAAGTCCGAAGAAGAGACATCAAACAAGTAGAATTACCGAGAACTTAATAAATTTGAGTGAAATTTTGATAAAACCTAAAAATTCCAAAGACAGAAATCACAAAAAAAATCCAGATCTATAATAAAAAGACCCACAAAAAAGAGAAACATAACAAACAAACGAAAAAGCACAATTTCAGCGCAGTTAAAGCCGTCAGAGTTGCAAATAAAAAACTCCTTTTTTTTAGAGAGCGGCTAGGGTTTATTTCTTTGGCATGGACAAATGAAATGTTTATTGGATGCAATTTTAGTTTGAAACTAACATTTTTACCAAAAAAAAAAAAAAATTAGTTTGAAACTACTTTTTAGAACAGTTACTACACTTGTATATTCCAGAAAGAGAAGAGTTTCATTCCCTCAAGATAACCAGAGTTCCATTCCCTCCTGTATTTTCAATTCTCGTTTAACAGTTATCTATTTGTTTGTCGATCTAAAAATCTACTTGAGAAGGAGAAGTAGAAATACCAATTGAATAAATAGATAGAGTGACAATCACTTTCACTCTAGCAAAACCAAAATTGAATCCACGTAAAAATCACTTTCTACGTGGATTATGATAAAAAATATAGTTCACTAATTGTGAAACGCTTAATTTTGCGAATGTATGAACATAATTGTTTGATTTTTTCTATTAAGGATTTGAACTAAAATACCTCTTTGGGGCATACCAATCTTTTCTATTATCAAATGATATCTGTTTTATTTGCAGTGATTGTAAAAATTCCATTTTCCCTAAGATTAGGATCCTAAGCCAATTTGGGTCGAGTGAATAAATATAAATGGATGGATAAAAAACCCATTTTTCCTGATTCCAGGAAAAAAAAAGAAACGAGTTTCCATTCGTAATTTGAAAAATTACCCGATCTAACTAAATGTTAAAAATAGATTAGTGCCTAATACGAGTATGGGAAGGGATTTTTTTCTTGCGTGTTATTATCAATTTTTTCATGAGTCCTAATTATTTTTTTCCCTAGTCCGTTTGGGTTAGGTTGGAAATGGATGTGTAAAAGAAGCAGTATATTGATAAAAATATATATATATTTCCAAAATCAAAAGAGCGATTAGGTTAAAAAATAAAGGATTTCTAATCATCTTGTTTTGTTATTCTATAGTATAACGAACAGAAACCTATTAAAAATAGAGAATCCGGTTAGCAGTCTACCTGTTTATGAGGTATCTATTGCTTTCGTAATTTAATACCTTATTTTGACTGTATCGCACTATGTGTCATTTCAGAACTCAAGAAAATAAAGACTTTTAGTGAAAATCGAATTTCAATCCAAATGGAGAAATTTCAAGGATATTTAGAGTTCGAGGGGGCTCGGCAACAAAGTTTTCTATATCCCCTTTTTTCGGGAGTATATTTATGTACTTGCTTATGATCACCGTTTAAATAGATTAAATAGAAATTGCTCCATTTTCTTGGAAAAAGTGGATTCTAACAAAAAATATAGTTCACTAATTGTGAAACGTTTAATTTTGCGAATGTATGAACAGAATTGTTTGATTTTTTCTATTAAG